ATATTAAACATTTTGTGGGATTGATAATTATGCTGTTAAATGATTTGGTCAATTTTGCTATTACACCAGGTATATATTTGCATGTAATTGAAAATTGTGGAAGTATATTCTTTGAGAAGTTTTTTTTTTTTTTTATTTAATTTTCATTTCTTACAGGTGTTATTTACTAATGGTTCAAGGTTATGGGTGTATTTTGTGATGTTATTTCGCCAAGCATTTTAAGCTACTTTGGTCATCTTGTAAAATTGTTTCCCAATAAAGTTAGGTTTTTTGCTTTAACCCAGCATTGTATATTGGTAGTTTTTTAGTTTTTTATTTTAATTTTTTTTATCGGTTCCATGTTAGTGACATCATATTTTGAATTTGAAATTTTATCATCAAATGTTTGGATAGTTGCTAATTCTATATTGTTGTTTATAATGTTGCAAACAAATTTAATTCAAATCATAATGCTAAAATCTATCAAACAAAATAAGATACCAGAGAAAGCAAACACCTGCTCCCATTGAAAACAATTTTACTCTGTAAAAATGACTAAAGTAGCTGAAAGCATTCTGAGAAATAATATTGGGAAATACATTTGTTCAGTAATTAGCTATGGTTAAATGTAATTTGTTGAAATTCCCAACAAACAGAATTTTCAATAAACAATAACTAAAGAAAGAAAAGCATGGGAAAAATAAAATGAAGCAAACTACACACGCACACACACACACACACACACACACACACACACACACACACACACACAATTTAATTTAATGAAAACAGACAACTTTAAGGTGCTGATTTTAAATCCCCAAAATTTGAAGGCTTTATTATTTCGGAAGTTTGGTGGCTTTAATTATTTTTTTCAGAAGTATATATATAGTTTGGTTATATATGTCTATATATATATATATATATATATATAGTTTGGTTATATATGTCTATATATATATATATATATATATATATATATAGTTTGGTTATATATGTGTATATATATATATATAGTTTGGTTATATATGTGTATATATATATATAGTTTGGTTATATATGTGTGTGTATATATATATATATATATAGTTTGGTTATATATATATATATATATATATATATATATATATATATATATATATATATATATAAAATTAATTGATTTAAAATGTTTTTCCACTACACAGTTCTAACCATGTTTCAAAAATGGAAGCTAAAAGCCACAAATTTCATTTTGCAATTAAATTAAAGACATTAGTTCCATTTCATCCTCAAGTGAATTTTTGAAGTAACTTTTAAAATTACTGGGTTTTAAAGACACAGCTAAAATCACGTTTCCATGGTTACAGATAAATCTACTTATATACATATAGTTTGGTTATATATATATATATATATATATATATATATATATATATATATATAGTTTGGTTATATATATATATATATAGTTTTGGTTATACATATCTGAATATATATATATATATATATATATATTTGTTTGTGTGTGTATATATATATATATATATATATATTATAATTATTTATTTAAAAATTATAACATAAATATGTTATAAAATCACTACAAAAATATTTTGTTTCAACACCTCCAGTGTTTTATCAAGTGATGATGTTGAAACTGGAGATGTTGAAACAAAATGGTTATTTTTGTAGTGATTTTATAACATATTTATGTTATAATTTTTAAATAAATAATTATATCTGTTCTACTATGTATTGAGCTCTCTTTTAAGAATTGTAATTGTTGGTGATTGGAATTTATTCTGTATACACCAATCCTATACTTGGATATATATATATATATATATATATATATATATATATATATATATGCAGGGTGCGATGGATAAATTGTCTTCTGGATTATGCAAAAATGGAAATAATGCTGACATCTCATTTTAACAGACATATTTACCAAAATTACACAAAAATATCTTAAAATACGAAAGAGTAAATTTACTCAATAAGATTGCCATTAGCTTAAAAAAACAGCCTCCAGACAACTTTAGAATCTCCTGCAAATATTCTGGATGATCTCCTTGTTTAAGTTGGTGAATGCTGCCATAATCCTTGTGTTCAGTTCATCTTTGGTATCACAAGGAATTTTGTTGCTATCTTGTTCAACTGCACCCCACACATAATCAAGGGGGTTGCAGACTGAGGAGTTAGGTGACCAGATGTAAGGAGTGATGTGATTGCAGAAATTGTCTGACTGCCATGACTGGGTTCTCCTGCTTGTGTGTCTTCCAGCAGCCACCTTCTTAACCCAGGGCAGCACTACCACCTCAAAGCACTTGATGTATGCCTCCATTTTGAGTCTGTGGCCTTCACCAACAAATTTGAGAGTTCTTTTCTTATCAGGACAATCAGATTGAGTTTTCCCAGCTGCTGTACCTTCATAATCACCATTAGATTCATCTAATTCTTTTCAAATCTTCTACAATGTCCTCAGATTGACAACCAGACTCTAAAATGTGGGTATTGGAGCTCCCAGCGTGACTTCCAAGCAGTACAGCATGCTGATTTGATTCACAGTGCTCTTTTTCTAACAGATGGTGTCCAACTGACCCTACTATATTGTGCAGTTGACAAAATCAAAAACAAACGACATGCATATGCAAAATTAAGAATATAAAATGGCAACAATTTACAACCTGTATATATGTGCAAGACAAATGTAGACAAAGCAGCAGTAATAAGGCAAAATGTTCACACAGTAAGAATGATGTTAACACACAAAAGGGATACAGTCAAGTGATCCAAAGCATTCTGACTTCAAGACAAGAAAGAACAAGTATATGGCAGATGAGGCCAAGAAGCAGCTAGGAAGAAATCCCAGCACACATCTGTCTGAGTTGTCTATAAATTTGGGGAGGGGGATGTTTTTGCATAAACTAAAGTAAAAAGATTTCTTTTCCCATTTATTTCTTTATAAAATGGTAAATAATAAATATTTTATAACGTTGTAAGTAAGCATTACTGAGGAATGAAGTTAAAATAATATCAGCGGAAAAACCGTCCTTTGAAACACCATTTTTTTTTTTTTTTGCTGGTATGAAGGCCCATGTTTACCAAAAGAACTCATTGTTATTCTTAAAAAAAATTAATGCAATATTCACTTGCAAAAAAAAGAATTATTCTTACAATTCAAAATATATTTTGGCTTTATATCATATAAACCAAAAACAATCAGTCAATTCCAGAACAAATATTAAAATGTCAGTTATGTGTCATTTCACAATGATCAGGTTAATACAATTGTCTCTTCATTGCTATATTGTATAAAATGTATGGAAAGATTGCTTCTCAAAGAGGGGAAATAAAAAATGATCCCAGATAATAGAAAGATACTATTATGCTATTGATTTTGAGCACAGAGGGGAAAAAAAAGATTTTTTTTAACAAATCTCTATCTCCAAAAAGATGTGGTCAGAAAGCATTCAGCCATTTAATAGTAATGAAAAAATAACCTTCCTCAAGCTTTAGTTCCCTTGAAAGTACATCTCTTGGAAACCTCACACATTTAAATCCTCTTTCAGGATTACCATCAGCTGCCTTTTCCCATTCTCCTTAATCTCGTCTATGATATTCCAACAGTGATTTTTTGCCACAGAAAATGCTAGAAATTACAAATATAGGAATATAGGTGTATTGATAAGCCTGGATGATGTATAGTCTGTTGACAAAAATTCTATTAGAGACATGAAGAACTGGCAGGCTGTCTTGATGCCAATTCATTCAATGGCATCTCACTGCTGACTGAGTAACATACAAGTGAGTGTCTATTCACACATGTACAATAAGGTTTCTACTGATTGGGGAGAAAGTTACAGCAAGACCCTGCAACCAGTTGTTAAGATATTAAAAAAATGGCTAAATACTTTTTTTTGGAAAGACCTTGATCATTTGGTAACAGTAGAAGACCACAGAAGTTCTGTGTTTTTCACTGTTAGAAAAATTTCTTTGTATTTCAATTTGTTTTTGTAGTTTAAATATCAGTGTGTTTTTCAGCCTTCCTCAAGTATATATAGTGTGTCTTGTAGTTCCTGATTGTTGCCTAGTATTTTTTTACCTTCTTATAGCAATTTATGGATGAAAATTTGAGTCTTGTGCTTGTGTGAGAAAATCTCTTGAAACTGATTCTATATAGTTATTGGAAGAAGGCACTGAAAACCACTCCAGGAACAAATATACAGTTTACAAATATTAAAAAAGAAGGAAGCTATGGAGAGCCATGACCACCTACCTCCTGAAGGGACAAGACTTTTAAGGAAGAGGAGGAATGTACATCATAATTAAGCTTTGGTTGAAATCAAGTGTGATATTAAAATATCACACTTAATTTCAAAAATTGTTAAATATTTATATGTTAATTTTCTTCCAGACATACTACATTGAAACACTGGTTCTCATACAATCACCAAAGTTAGGCAATGTCAAGCCTGGTCAGTGCCTAGATGGATGATTGCTTGGGAATACCACATACTGTAAGCTTTGATGTACAGTGGGTGTAATGGGTAATGGCCCGGAATTGGAATTGAAAAGCCAAGTTACAATGCCATTTGGGTTTCTTATATTCACTTGCGCACAAATACCCTTCTCCCAGCTATAGTTTAATTAGTAAGACTTATATCAGTAAATTATTTTTATCTCTCTAAAATTCTTAGAATCTAAAAATATTTTCTGGCTTTAAATAACCTACAAAAGGTTGATAAGACATAAAAACAAATCAATCTTAAAATAAAAACCCATATCACCAGTTGTGAGAAATAAACAAAATCTGACGGATTTGATATATGTGTTTACATATGTCCCATTAAAGTATATTTTCAATTTGATTTCACAGGCAGACTGTATATTTGAGGGACTTACTAGATTGTTCATATGTTTTGTTTTTTTTTTATATATATATAAAAATATATTATTGTGATGATTTAGTCTGTTTTATATGTCAAATCTTTTGAGATAGGAATAATTCTCAGAATGGTTTTACTTTTCAGAATTTACCTGGATTTCCTCCAGAACCCAGAAGCTGCTGCACAAGTTGTAAAAGAAACTAAATCTGTGGATGGTGCCAAAATGGTAGCCAGGTAAGAGTGTTTTCATTAGAAGACTTCTGACTTCTGTATTTTTACAGGTGAGATGAAAATTGCCATACTTATGAATTAAATATCCATTAAATATATTAAGACTGAAGTCTGAATCTGATTGGGTTTAGATTCTTATTTGGGCCTGACAGAAATTTGTAATTAATTCTTTCTCAGTTTGAGAACTCACCACCTTTGGTGAACAAAGTTCTCAACTTAACATTTTGTCATTAGAATGTACTTGATAGAAAAAAACAAGATTAACATCAACAAAGACATTATATTCTCTGTACCTTTTTTTATTCTTCTCTCATACTTCTCTCTTGTGGAACTCTTTTCCAGCTTCTTGCTTCTCAGTCAACCTTGTTCTTTAAAAATTTCAATTCAATCTCAATCATTATCTTCTGCTTTAATAGATTTAATATGGATTTAAGGGCAGTACGGTGGAGTAATGGATAGCAGATCAGATTGAGGAATCGGAGAGCCAAATTCAAATTCCAGCCAAATCCATTACATTCACTTATGTGCTAATACCCTTGGGAAAGGTATGAATCCTCTTCTTCTTCCCCCGGGTATGAGTAAGTAGCAGGACAGACCAGGTTCTATAGCCTTGGATGGCAACTGGTCTACTGCATAAAGAAATGGCTACAGGAAAAAATCTGCCTCGTCAGTAATGTATCAAAAGATACATAATTGCCTAAGCTGACTGACTGACTAGATTTGTAGCAAGGTCACATCTTTTTACTATTGAAGTAACTAGATGTAACTGTAAGTTCTATGCTAACAGTTTCTTCTCTTGTACTTCTTGCCTGTGTAACTCTCTTATGGCTTCTTGTTTCCCGGTCAACTTTGATCTTCAAAAATTGAAAAGCAATGTCGATCGTTATCTTCTGTTTTCTTAATTGTTGTTCTTTTATTGTCTTCTCTCCTTAATAGTATATTTTTTTCATATTTTCTAACACTCAGTTATCCCTTGCACCTTAGTGGCTTTATTGCCTTGCTTGGGTGAAATGATTAAAAAAAGTTTGTTTTGTTTTTCACATAGAGGCTTTTTTTTTTTAATTTTTTTATGCCTGAAATCTGGGAAACAAAATTTCTAGAAATCTTATAAGACAGCTTAAAAAATATGAAGCAGTAACAGAATGTTCCCAGATGAGGAGTGAAAAAAGAAGCAGCTTACCCAATAAATATTATGTTTTTTGGCAGCAATCTGCACAGATAAAAGATTTTGTACATTTTCTGGTGATTTGGTTATCCCAGATGCTGATCATCATGAACTGATGCTCAACCTGTGTTTCAAGTATCTCTGTCACAGATTTGTTGATATTCACTCAAAAATTCTCATTTGTAAAGATCACAGAGCCATTCCAATATAATTTTATCAAATCTCACATAATAAATGACAACACATAGCACAAAGCCTATAGTTAGGTCAAAACTTTCATACAGATATAACACATAGCACCATACCTATTCAGAAATATCTAAACTCAGCTGTATACAACCACTTTCTCGGATCAATGTTTGAAAGTGGCTTTGAGCGAGTGAAGCTCATAGGTCTTAGCGAGGACCATACCTCTTCAAAGTTCAAGGACTGGCACTACAGAATCACAAAGAACTGTACTAAATAACAGAAATTACATCACTTGAAAACTTTCAACAACAGCAACAACTAAAATAGATATCACATCTTCAGGCCTGAAAATTGCATACAAGCATGAAACAGACTGCCACTACCTCAGTGTTCACTCATATATATATATATATATATATATATATATATATATATATATTCTCATACATTGAAATGATGGAAGACCCCAGTGTGTGTGTATTAAAATATGTGTGTATATATGTGTACATATGTAGGGGTGTGTATATAGGTATGTGTATGTATGGATGTACATGTATGTGTATATATGTATATTTATGTGTATGTATATGGATGTATGTATGTGTAGATGGATGGATATATATGTAGATGTATGTATGTTTTGGTATGTATGTACTCATATATTTGTATATGGGTGTATATGTACGTATATATATGTGTATATAAAGTTAGATGGATAGATATAGGGACACATTGTCTATTTGTGTAAATGGGTGTATATAATTGTATAGAAATGTAAGGTTTTAGATATATATGTTTATGTGCACGTATGCATATGTCCGTATGTATATATGTGGGTAAATGTGTATATATATATGAAGGACTGGATACGGATGGATGTATGTGTGTATATATGCATGTATGTGTGTGTATGTATTTTTGTATATTTTTATATTTTTGGTTTATATATATATATATATATATATATATATATATATATATATATGTGTGTGTGTGTATATGTGTATATTTAAGGGTGTGTATATATATGTGTGTATATATATATATGTGTGTGTGTGTGTGTGGATGTGTATGTGTGCATACACGCATATGCATGCGTGTGTGTGTGTGTGTGTGTATATATATATATGTGCATGTGTATGTATGTATATGTATGTGAAAAGTGTGTATATGGATATAGATGGATATATGTATGTGTGTATGTGGGTACATGCCTATGTGTATGTATATACGTGTATATGTTATTGTGTATGTGTGTATTCGCATGTGTTTTTGAACATAGAAATATAGGTCCTTGCTGGATTAGATAATCGTTATATTTATTTTTTATATGTTTATATTTGATTTGTAACCTGTAGTCGATATTAAATTTGTCAAATTTTCTCAATTACAAAGCGGCCCTTTAAGTAAACGCAATTTTACTTTCCTTCGCCCCATCTCTCTCCCCCACCTCGTCTTTCCCTCCCTCTTATTCTAACATTAGATTGTCTATGGTGTGTGTATGTCACCATAAAATGTATCTTTATGCATTAGACATCCGACAACATTCATTTTTCTCTTACTTAAACCCCTTCCACCCACCTCTCCTAAAATTCTCTCTGTTAAGGTTTAATCTCCCTCCTCCTCATACTTACACTCTCTCTAAATTCTTTTTTTTTTTATTTTTTTTATTTTGTTTTATTTTTATTTCCGGAGTTGTTTCTTCTGTTTTCTTTTTGAATTTGTAGGTCTGATGAATTGGATCGTATTTACGATTCCAATGGAATAAATTATGACCATGGAATATTAGTGTTTAAGCCTTTTTATTATATCCTTACTCTGTCCTGGACATTGAGTTCTAACTGGATTCTTCCTCTTGGAATTTTTATTCAAAAAATATACATGTATGGGTATTTATATATTTTGCGTATATATGTATATTTACCACTAATATTATCTCTCTCTCTCTCTCTCTATATATATATATATATATATATATATATATATATACACATACTAGTAGAGTACAGCCAGTACTATCCATACATATCATTTAATTATAGTGGTGAAGGCTTGTGTAGAACCAACAACAAAGATACACATAGTGTGCCATAGTGTCCCCAAACAACACTCCTCAGGTTTTGAATTCAGAGTGGTTCTTCTTATAGATTAGTTGCTGCTCAAGGCTTTAGGACTCAGTCTGTACTGCTATTTATTGATAGTCAACTTGACTGGAACATGAACTTAGCTCTCTGATTCCTCAATTCAAACCACTATCCATTATTCCATCATGCCTCCACATATTCTATTATAACTATGCTTGTCTCTCCTTTTGTTAGTTTGCACAAGCTGCCTCATAAATTAATGGCTGTTTCAGTGAAATGGAAAAAGTTGTCAATTTCAAATTTTTTAATTTGTACCCACTTCTTAAAATAACAACCAGCATTCATATTCATGATTGTTATTGCAATATTTTGTTAAGCTCAAGTATTTAACGATGTGATAGAATTTCAACAGATATTTTATTGCTATAGCACTCTCCATGAACTTATTCAATGATTAACTTAAGAATTAAGATTCACTAGAAAATTCAAATAGGAAAACTGTGAAATTTTTATGGGTTTTTCTGTCTTCCTTTTATGCTCTTTCAGAGAGCAAGAAAGAAAGGAATCTAGATTTTGAAAGCGAGAGAGAGGGAGAATCAGATGAAGCTGTTAAGAACAGTTACTACACTTTGATCTTGGCCAAAAGGCAGAGGAGAGTGGTACAAGCACAATCATAATCGGATGATTGTCATCGCAATATTTTGTTAAAGTTGTTAATCTCAAATATTTAACGATGTAATAAGGAGATTTTCTACAGATATTTTATTGCCATAGAACATGCCATGAGCCTATTCAATCATTAACTTAAGATTCATCAGAAAATGAAAATAGGAAAACTGTTAAATTTTCATGGTTCTTTCTAATATGTAATTATTCTCTTATTCTGTCATGTTATGGTAGTGAACTTGGCCAAGCAATTTCAACTTTTGAACCTTCAATCCAGTTTCTAAAGTATTTTTGATTATTGTAATCAAACATTATTGTATTTATGTTTATTGAATATTTTATTCAATGAATATTTGGCAAAGCAGTGAGTTGAAAATCTGTAAAAGTCATTGTTTTTTTCCCCTTAATTTCCTTTTTGTTGAATTGCTTGACATTAAACTCCATTAGTTTTGATATAATCAAAATCATTTTTGGTCAATTTCATTAATGTTAACATCACATTTTATATTCAGATTTTTCCAGAAGTTGGATGAATATAGCACAGCAATTGAATTTTTGGTGATGTCAGGTTGTAATGATGAAGCATTTCAACTGGCCCAAATGCATAATGCCATGGAAGTATATGCCAAAATCATTGGTAAGTTTCATCCTTCAATTTTACTCAAATAATCCAGACTGAATGGATTAATAGAGCATTGGACTGGGTGTCCCAAGGTCAAGTAAACTGTAATGCAGGATGGATAAAACATTACTCATTTTGTAAGGTTATTAAATTTTTAGTGCCTGTTGTTTCACTAGTGAATATTTAAAGTAGATGAGCATTCATCATATTTTAATACAGCGTATAAGCAGATATTGCATTTGAGTCTTTTCTGTTGGAGTATATCAAAACACCACAACCGGAGTTTATGTAAAAATGTCCCCAAATCAACATTTGGGCAACCACCAAACATAAATAATGTCTACTAGATACACACATACGCACACTTATGAATATACGTTATAATCTGAATCTCACATAAATGAAAGAGAATTATGATACACTTACATACGTAAAGCAATATTTACATTTTTTCAGTTGGACTTTGAATCCATTAATATTTTTGAGCTTCAAAGGAACGCATTGTCTCTTCTTCAGTTTAGATTGCTATAAATTATACTAATGCTGCTTAACAAATCAAATGCACATGAAACCTGATTAATCAATGAGAATCAAACAATACAAAAATAAAAATACTAGAATTTTTTTATTTTTTTCTCCATATCTCATTCTCCAATATATCTTTAATAAAAGTGAAACATGCTAAATTGATAAATTTTTCCTATTTGTTCTTTATCATATATATATATATATATATATATATATATATATATGATGTTGTTTAGAAAAGAATGATGTTGAATAGAAAGTTGTATGTCCTCTGTTTAATAATTTAAAGGTAAATAACACTTTCCTTTAATCTATTGTCTTTCATCCTCAGTAACCCCCTTGTATCTTAGTGGCTTTATTGCCTTGCTTGGGTGATTTAAGAGTATCTTAAAGAGTCAAGTGAAACATGATTGACCAATGAAAATCAAACAACATAAAAGTAAATATACCAGAATTTCTTTCTATTTTTTCTCCATATCTTATTCTGATGAAGCTTAAATAAAAGTGAAACGTTAAATTGATAAATGTTTGCTATTTGTTCTTTATCCTATCATTCCGTCAGATTCCAATCCATATTTGATCTGTATTTGATCCAAATTCATTCAGTCTATTCTGTGTATATTATTGATAGAATAATCAATATTAATGCTTTTCTGGTCTCAAGAAATGTCTTAAAATAGTGGAACAGTGAGCAGTAAAAGGTTAATATACAAATTGTCATTTAACACAATATGTAAGCATATATTGCAGTTTAGTCTATTCTGTGTATATCATTGATAGAATAATATAGATTAATGCTTTTCTGGTCTCAAGAAATGTCTTAAAATATGTCCCATTAATGGAACAATGGACAGTAAAAGGTTAAATGGTTGACCAGTTCCTAATGATGAAAAACTTTCAGCTTGAATTCTTAATTATCACGTTTACTGTTTGATTGTGAAAAACTATTTTAAAACCTAGCAAAAGGCAATCAATAAATACACTAAGTTTTTGTAACATTACAAAATATGAATCAAACTGAACATAAATCTCAATATTAGAGAGAAGAGGAAAACTGATTGAGACGTTTAGTGATCAGCTTTTCTTGAATTTTCTCTAACTTTCAAGAAAAAGTTCTCAGACTGTTCATGCTGTCATATTACCTTGTATTTGAGACAAATGCATATATAACTAATGCTTATTGGTACCCAGCTAACTGAATCAGTCTGTCAGTAGATTTCCTGCTATCTACTCTTGTTAAGTTATGTAATGTTTTGTAATATTGTGTTAGTATGGCTCTGCGATCTTTACAATAGTCAAGAAATTCTAGCAGCATTCCAAATTCAGATTTTGTGTGAACCTCAGCAAATGCACTATTGAAACTCTCAAAATTCATCCATTTTTTTTTTTTTTGACAAACACAGATTTTACAATATTACCAATGTTTCTAGGATGATTGAACGTCGGTTCAGTGACGAGTTTTCAGCTTGATCAATTAGTGGCATGCCATAAAATGTGGAAAGAATTTCGGAGCTCATCTATGAAGATCATTAATTTATTGGAGTAATAGTGTGTGTTCATTAGGTCTAGTTTAGAAATTTCCAATATTAACTCGTATTTGGAAAAATACTGCTCATTCCAGGCTGCATAACTTATCATTTAGATGTTGGTTAACATTTACTTATTTTTCATGTTGGTATTTTTTGAAAAATGTTCTTTAGGTTGAACAGTGGTTTTACAATGTTGCCCATGTTTCAAGGCTGACCGAGTGTCATTTTAATGGTTAGTTTTCAGTGTGATCAATTAGTCTCAATATTTTTATTTTTTAATCATTTCATCCAAAGTAAGGCAATAATGCCACTAAGATGCAAGGTGCTACTGGCAGTGAAAGAGAATGAGAAGAATTTCAAAGAAGGAACCAGAAACCCAATCCTGGATAGGAAACAAGAGATAAACCTCTATTCCTGTTCAAAACAGGGGAAGGTGTATGAACCAGGCAAATCTATATACTCCTATTATATGCCATAAAATGTGGAAAGAATTCATGAGTTCATCCATGAGGATCATTAATCTAAATAATATATGAAATGTATTATTTATTGGAGTAATGGTGTGTATTCATTAGGTCTGGTCTGGTCTGGAAATATTTCCAATATTACATTGTATTTGGGGAATTACTGCTGATTCCAGACCCCATAGCTCATAATTTTGAGCTAAGTTAAATATGCACATTAGATAAATTGTGAGAGTTTACATATATTTTATGTTGACATTTTTTTAAATGAAAAATTATCATCATTATATTCTCTTCCATTCCAAGTAGTATGCTTATGTTGGTTGTTATACTCCAACATTTTGACCATTCAGCAATCTTCAGGTGTCTATTGTACTCAGCAACTTTCTTTTAATTTTGATCCAAAATTCAGTCCACAGGAGTGGATTGTTCTCATTGGTGATATTTTAAACTCTCATGATTGTACAGTAGGATGAAAACAAAAGATACACATTTCTTGAAATGGTAATTGAGCTTTGCCTTGTTATAAAGACCCAAGTAGGCTAACATTAAGGCATGCTCAGCTAAGGTGTTTCCTCCTAAAAAAAGGTTCCATCAGGTACACTTTTGTTTGATGATCTACGCTTGTAGATGTTAATTCACATTGGTTACTGGTGTGTTTATTAATATAAGCAGATTATTATTTTCTTCACAGTCATTACTATTTCAAGTAAAAAACAAAAATCCCATGTCGGCTGGGTAAATATCTGTTTGAGATCAAGTAAGCAAGACTGACTAAATATCTCGGCAAGGTGTTGAGTAAACTTGATTAGACAAATATATAGAATTAGTTTCCTCACTCCTATAAAAACCTGACAGAAATATTTCAGTAATTTCTCTATTGCATTGGTTATCTTTTCGGCTTGCTATATTTCTATAGATAGATAAATTTTTAAAAAATGATTCATTTTTTGAGATCTTCAGAAAGTGACAATCTGTTGTCACTTAGTGATGTTTGTAAAGTTAAAAGCTTTTCATTTATAGACTGAATTGATTTCAAGCATTAGTACAAAAAGAGGGTGGAGAGGAAATAGATTTAAAAAAAAAAAGGGAAAAGTTTGAAGAAAAAGAAATTAAAAGCATATCAGGAGAAAAAAAAAATCACTGACATACGTTCAGTTGAAATGGTGGAGATCAGTGCAGAGATTGGAAAACATCTATGTGCCGTGTCCCTTCAGGATGTTGACGGTAATGGCTCTCCACAACTTCCTGTCCTTTGTAGCTCTTAGTAAATTTTGTCTTTCCACTATCTCTCCTAATCCCTGTTCTGCAAACCATTTACACAAGCTCATTCTTCATTCTCTTGTATGTGCCGTGTCCCTTCAGGATGTTGGCATTTATGGCTCTGCACAACTTCCTGTCCTTTGTAGCTCTTAGTTGTCTTTTTACTATTTCTCCTAAAAGCTGGTCAGTATCTAGATGGGTGACTGTTTGAGAATACCAGGTGCTGTAACATTAAATGTCTGGGTGGTATCATAGTTAATGGCTTGGAAATGTTAATTGGAAAGCCATGTTCCAATTCCCTTTGGGTTCATTATATTGACTTATGTGCAAATACCCTTGGAGAAGTTATAAATCTACCTCTTCTCTACCCAACTATGGGTTAATTAGTAAAACTTTTATCACTAAATCATTATTATCTCCCCCACAAAATAAAATAAATCTTACAATCTAAAAATATTTTCTGGCTTTAAATAACCTGCAATGGGATTTATAAGCCATAAAAAATGAATCAAGCAATTACTGTTACATTTAGCCATTTCAACATTTTCATTTCAAAATTGTGCTTGCCAATCTTTTAATTTTTTTTTTTTTCAACCAGATATTGTTGAATTGCACATGCTTTATGGCATGGAGCTCCATCATGCTGAAAAATTTTGTTACCATTTGTTATACCGTACCTATGGACTATAATGGGTGTGTCCCAGTCCTTATAAATGCAGTGGAATATACTATATGTTGATTCACCTTGATTCACTTTTAGCAGTTGATTACTTACTGCTGGTGAATCTTGTATGTTGTTCCTGTTATAAATATTATCATTCCATTTCCAACCTCCATTTTGGTTATTCTTGTTCACTGACCTTTTTCTAGGTTACAACACCATTCTAATTAAGAATCAAGTTTTCCTTCAGCAATTCAATGTCTTTAAGACTATTTAAGTTTTCATTCACCTTCACCAACTTTCTAGAACCATTCTTTTTTTTTTTATATATCTGCAAAGCATTATATTTTTGCCTCCAAACTGTTTTTGTAATATACTGAGAGTTATTTTTTTTTCTTTTTGATTTTCTAACACATTCTCTCTTGTTAGAATACGATTTAATTTTTATTTGATTGCTAAATATGGTTTTATTTTATTCACTGGAGCCAGCTTTGACATTCATGAATCTATTACACCAACCATCATGGTCCTGTATCAAGGTCAGAAGGTCATTAGAGTGACATTCTGTGTCATAACATGTAGGTGGTTGCTGGATGACCAGCCCAGGTGTCCAGAGCAGTAGATCACTCACAAGTTCTTATTTTGCTCACCAGCCATGTCCTGCAATGCACATACTGTGTTTGCATAAGATTATAGAAATATCAGGGATGTGTCCATAGAGCAATAATTTAATTGAATGTTGTCTCCAAGTATAGCTCTCAGCATCCAAGTGTAGGTTCCATCAAGCTTAGACTCAAGGGTTTTAGTCAATGTTCAAGCAGTGGTACCATACATTAAAACTGACTCTACAGTAGCGTGAAAGAAGCTTTGTTTGAGGTTGTCTTTTAGATCAGATTTCCAGATTACATCCGTTTTTATTTAAGGCAACCCAGGCTTTAGCTATGCAAATTTTCACATGCTTTTCAGTAGAATTTGTTTCACTTCCTAGGTATGTTAAAAATTCAACAGATTTTATTAATTCTCCTGCTGGCCTTCAAAATTTTATTTTTTTTTTTTTTTTTTTTTTTTTTAGCAGCTATTCACCCATCAATGCATATTATTGAAGAATATATTTAGCAGTGTCTACTGACACCAAATTGGATCGGTTACAATCACCCATCAGTTGTCTTGAAATCATTTTTGATTGATTTTTTTAACTGTCTTTTGTTGTAGTTTATGAAGATCACCAGATCATGATCAATTCAATATATTTCCAGTCTCTGAAAAATTTGAAAGAACTTGAGAAACTGCACATCTTAATATTCAAAGTTTTATAGCTATTTTTCTCTGGCTCACATTTGCAGACATTTCCATAATCTTCATTCTGGTTTCTTTTGTGATTTTAGCCATGATTTCAATTTAATATTTTGTTAACATAAATTATGCTGATAAAATAACAAGAATAATGGTAAAACAAAAATTTTTATTATAGTTATTTTCCTTTGTTTGTAATATATACAACATGGTAATATATACAACATGGCCATTTTCTTAAGTTAGATATTTTTTCCTTAAATATTAAATCCCCAAAACAGACTATGAAGTTTAACTATGTAAATGGCACTCGCAAAGTCAACATATCATCTGTGAAAAAAAGGGATAAAAAACATTAATTTACAAGTAGATAATTTATTAAAAATTTATTATAGTCTAAAGTGACATGTGACTTTTGCACAATACTGTATTAACAGCCTGATCACTCCCCTCACTTACTAATGGGATATTTCTTTGTTATAGTAATGACGTATATTTGCATATTGGTGTCACATAATACCACCCATTAGCATAGCCAAATATCTCATTATGTAGAAGGGCAGATCAGGGTTAATGACTAATAAATATATAAAGTCACATTGTGTTTGAGGATGTGTGCATAGCATAGTGTTTATATGTGTGGGAAATGGGATGTCAAGTCCAATTACCAGCCAAGGGCCATTGCATTCACTTTTGCACAAATACTCTTTTTCTCCACACAGCTTTGGGTTAAACAGCAGACTTGGCTCTCCAGCTTTCTTTCATAAGGTCATCTCTGAATTCCAAACTGGTTGAGCTTAGGGAAACAACTCTGCCCATAAAAAACCTACTTGCTACAGAAACAACAACAACACCCAGCATGATGTGACTGTAGCCTGATACTCCACAGGAGAGTCTACAGACTTATATAGATTGTTTTTAAAATTATAAATATTGTTTTCTTCATTTGATACTTTTTGGCATGTTACTTGACCTTTGGATTTCAGCTTTAAATTGTAAAAGACTAAATTTGCCTTATTGTGCACTTATAGTTTTTTTCTAATTTCATCTCCTGACTTCTCTGTTAGTTTATGTTTGTTTTTATTGATTTCACTTCTAACTTTCATCTTCTGCTCAACACGTCATTTTCAATAAGTTCAATTCTGAAAGCAATTCAGTTAATGACAAATCTTCTGTCAATTGTAGTTATTGCTGACTCTCATTAATAGTCATGATGCCTCCTTTACACAACTGAAAAAATTCAGTTTCTTTTGGAAACACTTCCATAATTATTTAATTACAAGACTAATCCCCATTTCATGTTTCTTGTAACTACACCAGTATAAATAACTTCTTTAGGTTCAAAACAGTATTGTTTCCCCACATAGTCACCATCATTGGCTATGCATTTCTGCCATCAATGAACAAGAGTCTGTATCAACATATGTATTATTAAATATATGATGAGATATTCTGAAAGTAATGCAGCACATTGATTTTCATTGAAACTATAACAAATACTGTGAGAACAAGGAGAACACTATTGAATAGAGCAAGTTTTCAACTACAAAACACTATTTTCCTATATTGTCACTTCCACTGATTACGCATTTTTTTCCCAGTGATTAACAAGAGCCTGATTTTTCTTTTTTAATCAAGTTCACGGCAGTAAAGCCACTGAGGTACAAGGGGTTGCTGGGTGTAGAAAAATTAGAAACAGAAACATTACTAAGGAGAGAGAACCAAAGAAGATTAATCAAACAGTAGATAGTGATTGACATTGCATTTAAATTTTTGAAGATTAAAGTTGGCTGGAAAGCATGGAGCCGGAAGGAAGTTCCACAAGTGGGAAGTGCAAGAAAAGAAACTGTTAGCATAAAATTTACAGTTACATCAAGCCAACTTGACTGTAAATTAATGAGATCTCAATGTCAGTCTAGTACTGTGCTTAAATTCAAAAAGTTAAAGTACCATAGCGAATAGCTCATCTGAACAATTACCATGAAAGTATTTATAAAATAAAGGCACAGGGAGACAACCTTACAGCAATGGGAAATTAACTGAAGCTGAGATACCAGATCAGGACCAATAATATTGCATATTTGTTTTGGATTTTATCAAGGAGCTCTATATAAATATCATCAGACTATATGTGGCAACATTATTCGAATGGTAGCCCTATAGATATGTAAGATAGATTCTGGAGAGAAAAATTGTTTTGCATGACACGGTGAACCAACTTACTTATCAGCTGACCTAGCAATGGATTCAATATAGTCTTTCCACTTCATGTCAGCTGAGAACGTTAGCCCAAGAAGATGCAATGAGTCACTTTCCTGGGGTGATGATGGTATATGTTATACTATTGCTATAGAATAATATGAGGAATGTTCCAGAAGTAATGTTTCCTATTTATTTCCATGGAAACTTCCACAGATGCCAGGAACACAATAACACCATTGAATAGAGCATTTCAGCTACAAAAACATTATTTTTGCACATAATCCCCACAATTGCTGATGCATTTTTTTGGCTAGTAATGAGCATGAGCCAGCATGCCAGTGATGATGAAATATGATGCATAAAAATAGACTCTATTGTAACAGATATACAAAGCACAATAACATCATATGATATAATAAGTTTTCAACTCTAAAACACTATTTTCCCCACATAGTCACCACCACTATGCATTTACAAAGCTCTTCAAAACTTTTGTGTGTTGGCAGCTGTATAGGGTCATCTAGAATGTAACTGATACAAGGTCATGTGTATCTTAGGCAATCCAGTATGCATGCTGATCAAAATAGAAATGTATATATTAATGATATTGTCCTAAGAGAATTGTATATAATAACAAAGTGCTTATAGAAATGTATATATTAACCATGTGGTTCAAATAGCTCATCTGAAATATATTAATGTGGCCCAAATGGAAATGTATATATTAAGGATGTGGCCCTAATGGAAATGTACATATTAATGATGTGACCCTAATGGAAATGTACATATTAATGATGTGGCCCTAATGGAAATGTACATATTAATGATGTGGCACTAATGGAAATGTGTATATTAATGATGTGGCTCTAATGGAAATGTATATATGAATCTTGTGGTTCATAAAGAAATCTATAATCCACAGGGGAGCTTACAGAATTAACATATAAATATTGTCTTTTGCTACATGTCAATTTTACCAGATTTTTGAATTTCAGCTTTAAACTTTCTTGTCAATTGTAAAAGGCTATAATGATATGGTCCAAATAGAATGATATATATTAATGATAATTCCTCTTAACAAAAATGTCAATATAAATTACGCATTGTGCAAATAGGAAACTGATTATTTCACAGATTACCCATCAAAATAAAATAGATTCATTCATAATTTTTACACACAAAATAGATACAAAATTGCATTATACACAATTAACTATAATAAGTACAAATTTTTTTTTTTGTATTTGGTACAGTTGTATTTTTAGGTAATAAAATAATCCCCAACTTTGTGTCCTTTTTTAATAGTCTAATAAAATTGGCTTTATTTACATTATTTACTGTTGGACTAATATCCTCATCTTTGTTGTTACTATCACAGTGTTTCAGCCATTTCACTCACCAGACTTCTTCAGATGAGTCCTTTATTTAATTTTCTGGAATAGATTGCTCCAATTCTATTGTCCGTATCTAATTAAAGCTTGTATTGGTTAATTGTCTGGCAACACTACTAGCAATAACTGAGCAGTATTAAAAAAATACAAGATGAGATATCCCTAGACATCAACAGTAGAACAAGAACAATCCTCCCTTATAGATTAAATAAAGGGTTCAATTTGAAATTCGTTGAAGATTACCCTGATTGAAGAAGGCCAGAGGGCACAATGGCTGAAACATTAAGATAACAGCAACAATGAGGATATTAGTCATACTCTAAAAAAAAAAAAAAAGAAAACTCCTTATCTCAGAGATTCAAAAGAAAATGAGCTTTGTGTTGAAATAAATATAGAAAAAAATAAAACATCTATTTGTTTCTGTCTTTTTAAAGGAATGCATAAAAAATAAGGATGCTTTTTTTCATTTGTTCAGACAAAATTATGCACAAATTTTATTGTAAATTGTCTTTTATTCAGGTGATGATGCCTCTCCAGAAATCTACCAAAGTGTTGCCAGGTATTTTGCGAATGAACAGAATTACTTATGGGCTGGAAAATTCTATCTTCTTAGTGACCAATATTCTCAGGTAAGGTGCACAAGATAACTCGGTGCCACAACTTTCAAATCGACCCACAAACCTTCAGTTTAGTGTCATAAAAATTATTTTTAATAAAAACGATAATATTGAAATAGTATAAGATAAAGATTAAAAATGTTGAAACTGTGTAAAAATACAGAAACTACTTTTAGTAAAAAAGATAATATTGTATTAAAAACTAATAAAGAAAATTAGAATGTTACTAACACAGTTTCTTTGAAAAAGAAACCAACTAAATGAAGCCAAACAGTTTATACAAAAAAAAAAATTATGAATCAAAATTGATGTGCAAAGATGTGAAAAAAAGGAGTCTACTAATTAATGTCATAAAAAAACTGCCAAAATGAGGACAGTTTAAATTTTCCAAAGACAAATTTTGCAGGATGGCCCCCTGCTTTGATGTTTCCAAAAAACAGCCAGATTTGAACTGAAAACAGGTGTAGTCTGATTGAATGATGACTTGATTTTTTTAACGAATAAGGATAAAAAGTATAGGCCCAGGAGGAATTAGTTTAGAAGTCGGTTTTAATCCATGTGTTAGCTAATTTGAAGTGCAAAATTATATAATTCAATCAACTTATATCAACGTAACGAAAATTTCTGCCAGTAAAGTGCTCAATAGCTATTGAGCAATAATTATTTTATCAAAAGTAATTCAAGATCACAAAACTTTTATATATTATTTACATCCAAAGAAATATATATACTAGCTGACATATCTGATAATTCCCAGAAAAATGGATGTTATCCCCAGTTCCTGTTCACATATCCTTTCTTCAGTTATCCAAAAGTAACAATTCAAATTTAGTAGCACTGAAAAGGGCTTTTGTGCATTCCGAGAGTATATAACCCTTAGGAGGGCTAGTATTAAAATAAATTTACAATAGATATACAAATAGATTGACATATAGTTTCACAATAGACCTGCAAATAGATTTATATATAGATTGACAAATAAAATATATCGATTAACAAAAGATTTATGACAATGAAAAATGATGGCCACCAGACAAGAATTGAAAGGAATATCAAAGTCACTTCCACTTCATCTGATGTGATTTATCTTTTCTTCACAATTACCACAAACTTTACTTCCAATTCAGAGAAGTATTTTCTCTCTCTTTATATTTTGTATGTAGTTAAATATTTTGAGGACTTTCAGTCAGAATTTTTTTTTACTAGGGGTGGGGTGGTGAATCAATTACAGATATCTTTTTAATGAAACAACCATCGTATCAGTCAAATGGTGTCACTTGAATGTGTAAATTTGAACAAACATCCAGATCTGTTGGGTATTTTATGATTTATAATAGTATTATTTTGATCCCTGTATTAATTTAATCTAGGTGTACTTTTGTAACCATGGTAACAAACAGTCAGCTACAAAGAAAGACTATACAGAATTAAGGGGTCAAATAGGGTTTATTTTAATGAAATGACCTTTGCTTCAATTTGATCATGTCCCCCAAATGTGTAAATCAAACAAAGACCAATACATGTTGTTTTGTATGGACTTTGAAACCATGCTAAGTTTTCAATAGAAATTTTTATGTAGATCAGCTAAGCTGATCATGCCAGTTGCTAAAAACATTTTCTAAAATAACTTCTGTGACGTATTGAAAATATTTCATAGTTAAGCCTCTTCCTAGTTTCCCTTCAGCATCAGTTTCTAAGAAGCCATACAGAAGTGTAATTATATTTATTTTTAAAGAAATCACATCAAATTATATTTTTGCAATATAAACACACCACAGATATCATATTCAAAGAAATATTATGCTGAATTAATGTGTTAAATAAAGATTTTATTTAGAAAATAACCTGCTATTCGTTCAGATGTTTCCCCTTCATTTTTAAAATTGAACAAAGATCCTTATCTCTCTGGAATTTTAAGCTTTATAAGCTTTTTATTATTTTATATGTATCTTAATTTCTAAAAAGTTTTTGAGAACAATAATCTCCTTTGCTTAAACATAGTGATAAACATGTAAACAGTCTTTCGCATAAGACCTGGCAGTGAGCTGCAATCTAGGGGCTCTAGCAACCCCATTATAGATTTTTATAAAAAAACAGTTAGCCTAGTAAGAAACTGGATTAACATGTATGCAAAGATTCATCAATATTGATTCACGGGTTTAAGTGGCAACTTGATTCAGATAGACAGAAATTGCCTTTTATATATATATATATATATATATATATATATATATATAAATTTTCATTTATCAGAATAATATTCAATAAATCTTTTCTTTAATAAGATAATATAATATATAATTATGACACACACACACATGTATGTGTATATATATATATATATATATATATATATATTACAAAAATTTGTCACTTAACTGATGGGTGTTACATTCAGCACCTCAACTGTTAATTTGCCTTGCTAATTTTAACTGCACAAAGGAAAGTTTGTGCATAGCCTATATTTTAATTTGCACAATTTGTATATTGAGGAATATATTTTTGTCATTGTAATAGATATTTTTTTTTTTTGTTTGTGCCACACTTTGGATAAGAGATCTGACGATCTCTCACTTTTTAGTGTATCTCATTAGTAACCTTTATTTTATATTCTACAATAGCTTAGCTTAACCTGCCACAAGGCTATGATTACTGAGCACCCAGTAAGAATTGAATTCACTTCAATAGTAATGAGTAACATGAATTGAATATTTTTATGATGCATTTCTCTTGCATTTTTATTGTAATGCTTGAGTAATTTTTGCATTGTATGACTGTTAAAAAAAAGTGATATGGAATGTTAAAATTGTGATAAAATAGCAAGAAAACTGACAAAAGAAAAAGAAAAAAATCAAAGAAACTCAGAAAACATAAAAGCTAAAAGGAAAACCAAACTGTTCTATTATCCAAAGATTATCCGAATAACAAAGGGAAAAATAAGATAAATTGTTACCTGAATCCCAAAGAGATATCAAGTGATAAATATGAGAGCAGACTACCATTCAATCTATTCAATTAATAGCCAAGTACCAATCAGTTACCAGCTTTTATGATAATGGATTATTCTTTGAGCCTAAAAATAACAAAATATCTATATAAATATTTGTAACTTGTGATTTTCTGTTTTCCAGGCCCTGAGATATTTGATACAATGTAAAGAGGAAGACCATGGCGCCATTGATCTGGCTATACAAGCTGTCAGGAAAGCTGATGATCTACAACTGACTAAACAATTAACAGATTATCTCCTTGGAGAGACAGATGGCCTACCAAAGGTATTATATTAATTTCTGTTCCTTTTCTTCATGATTATTGTCACTGCACTGCTTCTGTTATTGCTGATGCTTTGGTATTATCATCTTTGTGAATCAGGAATAGAATATCTGTGCACTTTGCCTTGCATCAAGGTATCACTTCCCAGCCTTTGAGAATCAGTGTAATACCAGTACACTGTGAAAATTGTTGCATATGAAGATGGTTCCTATCAACCAATAGTCCCTTAGTCAACATTGCAGGTTTTGATGAAATTTTACTGTGATGCCCATCCTAGAGAAATGGAAAACCTGAAAATAGAAATTTCATTTGAGCCATAGTTCAAGAGTTGCTTGAATTTTCATTTCAGATGTTGGGAAAACGCTTTGCCAAATTAAGCATTTTGTAATTTTGTATCCTAAGAAGATATCTGACTGAAATTTAGTGTTTCTATAGACCAGTGTTTCCCAAACTTTTTTTCTTCCTGGCTGCATTTTCAGAATTAAAATTTGCTTGCAGCTCATCAGTTTTTTTTTTGTAATAAAAAGTACATTTAAAAATAATAAAAAAATAGAGAGGGTTAAAGGGAGATAACCACAGATTCGAAGTCAGAACATTGTCATTGATAACTCTCTCCTCCAATTTGCAGAGCCTAGTTACTATATTCTTAATACTTGATATAATGTAAAAATATCACAGTGATAAAATCAGTCAATAATTATTTATAACTATTTATACTGTGACCCACACTTGCAATTACAAGTAATCCATAATAATATTTTAAATTTTGAAATCTTATTTGTGTTTGGCATATGAATTTTTTAAAATAGTTTCTAAATCTTTGTCATTCAATCATTCTACCTCACCTGCTATCCTTGAGGTGTGCTACACCATTTGAGAACCACTGATATAGATTGATACATAGAATAGAGATTCCCAGCATCAGTTTATTTATGTGTTATATATTTTTGTAGTTAGACACCATTAATAATTAAGAAAAATGGCTATTTTATGAGGTGTTTTTTATTTTGTGAGTATTTTACCAGCTATAAAAACTAAACCAAGTAAAGTAAAATAAAAATTCAACTTGATTGTTACATAGATTGACTTGTGCAAAACATTAAAATATTGTGTTTACAAGATTTAAATAATACCTGGTTGATCAAAATATAGAATCTCAAATTTTTGGTTTTTTTTAACAGTGTGAAACAGTGTGTATATAGCTGTATTCATGATTCAAATTTTACTGAATTCTATCTCAAACACTACTGTATGTGTGTGTGTATATATATATATATATATATATATATATATATATGATAAAATATAATTTTAAGGTATGCTATATTTATAGGCTAAAGTACTCAATATCAGGAATAGAGTGCTTGTAAATATAAAAGTAGACATTGAAATCAACACCCAGAGGCAACAGTCTGTTTCATGCTTATAGTCTGACTATTGTGTTTAAACATCAAATAGTCACCTCTGGGTGTTGACTTCAATGTCCACTTTTTTATTTAGACATATAAATATATAGGTATACCTATTTTTATATATTTCTAAGTTAGTTTTCTTAAAGTAAAGTGCTTCAGTTTGTTTCCTGTTGAAACACAGGTTCTTATACATTCACCAAAGTTAAGCAATGCCAAGCCTGGTCAGTACCTAGATAGGCGACCACTTAGGAATATCAGGTGCTGTAAGCTGAAATGTGTGGTTGGTGTTATAGCTGATGGGTCAGAATTGGAAATCAGAAAGTTGAGTTCCAATTCCTGTCAGGTTTGTTACAAATACCCTTTGTCTCTTCTACTCCCAGGTATGGGTTAATTAGTAGGTATTGTATCAGTAAATCACTATTATCTCCCAAAACTCCTTACAGTCTAAAAATATTTTCTGGCTTTAAATAACCTGTGAAAAGTTGATAAGCCATAAAAAACAAACCAATTTTTAGCACAGATCTGAGATCTATCAGCTTGACTCTTGCAACAGTCATGGAAAATCAAGCTATGATGGAATGATTATTGTTTCAGTTATTCAACATTTAATCAAAACTTGATTTTTCTGTCTCTTTGTCATTTTCGCTCAGTATTATTTCAGTCTGAACAGCAAGGCTATGTTATTAGTCTTTATGAAGGAAGCAGGTTTCAAAAAGAGGCCTGTGCCTCTATATGAAAATATTGAACAGGATATGCAATATGGTAATTAAACCCAGTCTTGATAATACTTGATATTCCATTGACAACAGCTTCTGTTCTCATTACCATATTTCACATTCATTGGCTTTTAATCTCAAGATCCTAATACTTTATAAGTCTGTTCTGAGCTTTTATGAGATTTGCATTGCATAGAATTACAACAATGTTAAACCATGCCTTTGTCTTATTGTCATAAATGTCAGTATTATCAGTTAATTGTAGTAACCTTGCCTCTGTTGAGAGCCTTAATTCATATTGTTATTGCCTTATTGATATTAATAATATGTTGAAACAAGTTCTCAGGAACTTCATTGTCCTGTATCATGCAAACTGGTCAATTTATTGTTTACACCTTACATTCAACTATTGTATAGCTTTGTTACTATTATCATTGTTTCAATCTATATTTCATGGATTCTGTGTTAGTTTCTACAAAATTGATCAGATGCCTAGCGTATTGTGCACATGTGTATCAACTCTCAGGTTGATCTATCTAAAATGGTTAAGTCAGTCATATCCATTCTCATCATGATAGCTGGTACCATTGTGTCTATTTAAATATTTAATTGGTACTGGATGACCAGACTCAATGTATCGACAGATGCATGGCACAATTGCAAATATAAAATACAATCATCGTCCAAGCTTTCCACTAACCAGCCAATGATCACCCCAAATTACATTCCAATCCTTGATCTCGTCAGCGTTCAACAAAAGCTGGGGAAGAGTATGCTGCATGCTCACAAGATAACATGATGAAAGACAAATGCCATGTCAAGAAATAACAATGTGAACACTGTTTTCCATATTATACGTAAGTGTTTTATTCAGGTTTTTACCTGCTCATCCAGGTGGTTAAGGAGGTGATACTTGGGACAATTTCTGCTAGGTCTGCCCAACTCCTTGCCCATCTACTCATCCTGATATGGTGTTTGGTAATATGAAATGGAGGCTTTGGAACCACAACACAGACACATCCATTTCCCTCCAAGGGCCAACCAGATCTCTCTCTCTGATCCCAATTATGACTGTTAATATAGAGCAGTACCTGGATATAACCTATTTCCGGTTTTGTTGCCACTTGATCCTCATCAACCACTTTACTTTCCATTATGCTTTTGTTAAAGTGGATGCCGCTTAGAAGACTAAACATAAAAAGAAACCATTTGCTGGCCTATCAAACAGAAACATTTGAAATTGAGATGAAACCACCTCTTCTCTTTTTGTATGGATGTCCATAGTATCACACAATTTTCTGCATTTATCTGGGATTTATTCAGTGTGGTTGTTATATCAAGTGTCACTGTTCCCATGAAACTGGTACCAATCTTTCTATGACATTGCATTTTTAAATGACACATTTTATTATGCCTATGTAGTCAATACAACCAGTTTCTATGATCTGAATCCTTCTAAAATACCTGGTACATTACCAGTATTTAATGTAGGCTTTCTATTGTGCATTATTCATGTGACATCAAATACATTTAAATTAATGTTGAATACATTCAAAAATTAAAAGTGATTAATGCATCATATTTAAAATAGAGATAACATGTCACAGGACTTGAATTCTTTACAGTAGCCAAAATTGATACTGAAACCCAAACACACATTGGACGAGCAAAAGATGCCTTCCAAAATCTAAGCAAAGTGCTGAGAAACAAACAAATTTTGTTCGAAACAAAGAAAACAATGTTGGATTGCTATGTGATATCCATGGATGCTGGACAACCTCCCCATTAATGAGAAGAAAACTGGAAGCAACAGAAATGTGGTTCTAGAGAAGGATACTAAAACTTCCATGGATGGAGAGCAAGTAATCAAGAAGAAAGTCTTAAAGAAAATGGCAACAGAAAGAATACTTCTGTTCAGAATCAGGAGAAGACAGCTGAAATTCCTTGGACACATAAGGAATGAGGGCTCGGAAAACCCTCACCGGACATATTGAGAGCAAGAGAGATAGGGGAAGGCAGCAAGCCTTTTACCTGACGAGCTTGTATGAATGGACAGTGGAACAGAGATGGGAGGCTTAACAAGGGGAGAAAAACTGTTAAGAGCCACAAGGGATAGGAAGTTTGGATAGCCATGATTTCCCATATCTGGAAAGGTTGTGGCACATAGAAGAAGTGATTGAAATTATTTGAAAGCTCAAATGACTTCTCTTCATATTAATAAAAAATATCTTAAAATGAAATAAAATATTTGTGCAAAGAAACTGAAATGAAATAGATATACATCTATGATACCTGTCCTCAGGCTTGTTGGTTACTGCTACTGTTGTTTGTTTTCATTTCGTTGATCCGTCATTCCCTGTACCAGTGCTACCAAAGACGTAGTATTCTTGGCATTGTTTTTTATCTTCACTGTTATTGTATATTGACATCAGCAAGCTGGGAAGTAACCAGGTTCTTTGGAAATTTCATTCAGTGGTCATTGTGATTCTGTGGAGATTTTGTGACTTTGTCCATATGCCATGTTCTTTCAGGATGCTTTTCAGGATGGCTCTCTACAATTTCCTGTCTTTTGTAAGGTCTTAATAAATTTTGTCTTCTTGTTATCTCTCCTTAACCTTGCTCTGCCATCTATTTACTCAAGCTCACTAGGTAAGTTATATGTTGTTTTCCTCTGCCCCTCTTGCCTTCAATCTGTCCTGTGAGTATCAAATTTTCTAAGCCTTTTTTCCTCATTATATACCTTAGAAATTTCAACCCTCTCTTTCTGATGTTAAGTTTCCTTTTTATTTCAATTTTCTGTAAAACTTCATCGTTGCTCACATGTTCAGTCCATGGTATTCCTCCTGTTGAACCAGATTTCTGTTGTTTCAAGTCTTTTTTTCATCAGTGAGGAGATAGTCCAGCATTCATTACCATATAGGAGGACTGATATTACATAACAGTTCAGTACTCTTTGTTTCTACAAAATTTTTTTGTTTCTTAATACTTTGCTTAGCTTTTAGAAGGCTCTTTCACTATCTCAATGCACTTTCAGATTTCAATGTCAGACTTTCTTAAAACACTTCCCTGATATCTAAATTTTTGTACTTTTTTGATTTTGGTATCTCCAATTTACATGTTGGGTTGTTCCTTTTGCTAAATTGTTTATTAAACTTCTAGACTTTGTCAATTAATATCTCTGAGTGGGTATGTGGCTTTGAGGGCTTTCTCCAAATGTGGATCTCCATTATGTGTGGATATAAGATACTTTCTGTCTTTTCTATCTTGAGTGGGACACATATATTTCTGTCATCTAGTTGTCCTACATGTGCACATCCCAAAGACACCTGAGTTGAACACCTGTTTACAAGGTCAATTATGATTAAATAGCAGTGAAAACACCAGTTCTCATTGGATCACCAAAGTTAATCAGTGTTTAGATGAGGACCACTTGGGAACACCAGATAGTGTAAGCGACCTCCTAAAATCCCAAATATGTTTCAGCTTTAAATAGCACACAAAGGATTGATAAGGCATTAAAAAAGATGAACTAATTACATGCCAGGCATGAATTTTTACCTGGTGGCTAAGAGGTCACTTTCCAGGTCAACTCAATGATACACGTGGCTTTTCGTGTGCTCTGGTGTAACTCATCATGGGTATGGCAATAAACTACATCCAGCAGTAAGACCTCTGATCAGGAGATTTTGAGGAGTGTGGAACCACTTCTTAATTGCTGTTGTTCCCAGGACCACCCTTACCCGGGGTAGTAGCACCTGTTAGGGTCCTAGCTATGGGCAATTAGTAAACCCCCAAACTGGGATCAAAACACTATGAAAATATAAAATCTATTTTTATAGTAAAAATATCTGCAATATATTTTCATAGTAAAAAAATTACCAGCAATACAGTTTTAAAAAAAATACCAAAGCTCACAAAAAAATTAAATTTTGACATTAAACAACCCATAAGGAGTTATGTTGTTAAACAAACAAAACCAAACCTCTTGTGTAACATTTAGTATAGAGTCTATTTTGGTATCATTTAGGGCAAGTTCAGTACATATTGGGGTCATCACAAATCAACTCCTCTTGCAGATAAACTCCTCTTAGAACAAAGGTTCCTTATTGACATTAAATTCATTTTAGATCATCTAGTATTTCCTGGCATGAATCGCAAACTACCCATGATTGTTTCCTGCTTAAGTATTTTTATATGAAATCTATTTTGGTATCATGCTGGGATGAGCACTGTACATATTGGGACCCTTGCAGATAAACTCCTCTTAGAACAAAGGTTCCTTATTGACATTAAATTTGCTTCACATCATCTGATAGTTCTTGTTGTGAAACACATGCTACAACAATTTTTTAAAGGTTTTCATCTTTTAAACTTTTTGCATCCAATTTGTATGCCATCAGCATTTTTAGGTGAGAATGAGTAAATTGTATCTTTATCAAATGCAACCTTCTCATTTGACTTCATAATCCTGTTCTTGATTAATGCTGGAGTGAATTAAATGCATATTGAGGTCATTGAAGATCAATTTCTCTTTGTTCAGTCACCTCTGGGTTTTGTCAATTAACAATCAGTATAAGGGTGTGGTACTTTGTGATGGGGGTCGGTACATGGATCTTCTTGTGAGAATGTGAGAGACTATCTATCTTTCCCTTTCTGGTGTAGTGCTTATATAATCATCTGGTTGTCTGACATGCACACATCCTACATTGTTCATTCATCTCTGGGATTTTATCAATTAATATTAGTGTGAGGGTGTGGTGCTTTTTGGTGGCATCAGTACATGGATCTTCTTATTGTGAGAATGTGAGAGGCCATCTGTCTTTTCTCTCTCAGGTGGAGTGCTTATATATTTTCCTATCATCTGTTCATCCCACAGTAAGTAGAGATTGGTTTATTGCTGGTTAACATGTTCCTTATTGATATTAAATTCATTTTAGACCATCTGGTATTTTCTGGCATGAATCATATACTATATTTGTATAGATAAAGATATTTTCATAGAAGCAGTTAATGTGATTTCTTTCTTGAAGCCTGTTATCATACTCCCTTGTCGATAGTAGTACCAGTAGTATCAATGTTCTCTTCTTACAGTCTTATGAAAATATGTATAATTCATATTAGCTTATAGCAGTTCATAAAAAATGTACTAACAAAAAGTATTTTTCAAGGTAAGTTCTTGTTATTTCACTAAAAAACATCTTGGTGAATTAGGACTGACTTTATAAAAATTAAATTTTCCATTTTAATATTGTTATTTTTATTTTATTGTCTTCCAGGATGCAAAATATTTATTCCGATTGTATATGGCCCTAAATCAGTACAAAGAAGCAGCACGTATTGCAATCATCATTTCCAAAGAAGAACAGAACACGGGTGAGTTTTGTTTTTGTTTTTTTGTCTATAATTTTGTGAAAAGTCATTAACATTCTTCCAAATTTTGTACAGACAGTTGAACTTGTCTTGTTCTTGATGTTAGGAGACCTCCCCCATTGTGTATAGATTAGAATCACCTAGGTATGTTGGTGGTGGTAATAATTTTGTCTGTGTATCCTGTATTGCTCTAATGATTAGCTGAAAGCTGATATATGAACAACCATTTTTTTTTTTTTTACTTGATGTATTCAGAAGGAAAGAGAAATAGTATTAGGTGGACTTGACTTGGCAGTCTTGACTTTGTAGAATGGTTGAGGGGGTGAATATTCAATATGTCCATAAAGAATCAAGAAAGGAAAAGAAGAAAGAAGATAAAGTGCAAATACAAAATTTTTATAATTAAAAAAAAATCTTGAGGTGGTTTTTACAGAATTTTTTTTTAGTCTAGTTTCATAATATGAAATCAAGTTTCATATGACAGAGAATAAACTAGACACAGGAAGAAGAGTTCATAATGACTCCTCTTACTACTTCAACTTGTACATTTTCTAGAATTTCTTCCTCTCTTCTTTTGAAGAGTTTTCATCTGACAGAGAATAAACTAGACACAGGAAGATATCTTAATGACTTCTTGTTATATAGGAATAAAATGTTGCTACCAACACTTAGGTTTGAACACAGATCGACAGAGAGCAAGCACAGTCAACCTCATCTTGAAATAATAAGATCATGTGGCGGGTAAAGGAAAAAAATATATATGGGAATTAGTGGCGTCTGACTGAGTATCATTCAAAACTGTTACTATTGTTGTATCTGTGATTTACAAAGTCTCTCCTAGAAATGGGCATTACAAAACTTCTCTTATTACTTTGACTCAGACCTTAGTCAAGTAAGTTGATGCATTTTCTTGTATTTATATCTAGTGCATGATGTATTAAACACAAGAATACTGGCAAATATTTAACTGAAAAATGCTTGACGATTTGAATGTGTGTATAAAATTCCTAATAACTATACATGCTTAAAAACTTAAACAGTTCATATTATTAATTTATGTTTTAAATGCTGTGTACTTTTTATCTTTTTCCATAAATTATGAGTTAATTAAGCTTTATTTTAAGTTTGTATACACTCGGTTGGGATATTGTATCTAATTAATCATTGTATCATCATAGCCATGTTTTATGTCAAGACAGGGCCAGGATTAAACTTGCACAAAGCAAACTCGGGATCCTGACTGACAAATGATCTTAGTTTACCTCTCCACATATGTCTGTCATTTGCATCAGCTAGTTCTAGGCCCAATTTTTTCCTGTCTTTCTGAATAACATCCTTCCACGTCCTCTTGGACCAACCTATGACAAATTGCAGTCATTAATAATTTTTAGTAAAAAGCAATTTTTATTTTGTCCGTAACTGATTCATTAATAGAATATGTTCTAATAATGTGTCTGCTATAATTTCAATCTGTCTAATTTGTGCATTTTGCCAAATCTTAATTTATATGGATTTTTAAAGGTTTTCTTCACAAACACTACAGCTTCATAGATGACAAGAGAGTCTTGTCCCATGAACAGGTGCAAATGCAGAAGAGAACCCCACTTCTGGCATCACCAAGGACAAGTGTCAGCATCAGCAAAGACAAGAATAAGATCATGAAGGTAAAGCACAAAAGTAAAGCAGCTGAATAACTCTTCAAAGAGGTGAACTCTTTCACCTGTTTGGCAAGTGTGGCTGATGCACAAGAAGGAACAGGTAGAGATGCAAGAACAAAAGTAGACAGTGTAAATTGCATTTCTAATCCTCAAGACGGTTTCGAGCAATTACAGAAAGAGCCATCTGAGAATATTTGACATCAATAGAAAAGCTGTGCTTCTTTATGTCTTGGAAACATGGAGCAGGACAAGTATAATAATTTGTAAACTCCAAACATTCATCAATTGCTGTCTTTAAAAATTCCTCCATCTCCATTGGCAGGAGAAAATAATCCCTAATGAAAATATATAGAAATGAACAAAGCAAGAAGCAATCATAACACAAATGCTGAGAAGAAAGACCTTGGTAACAAGGTCCCATCATTTTTACTTGAAATGGTTAGATAAAAAAGTGAAGTTCTATACTAATAGTTTCTTCTATTGCACTTCTGACCCGTGGAACTCTCTTTTGGCTTCTTGCTTCCCAATCAACTATTATCTTAAAAAATTTCAGTGCATTGTCAGTTGCTATATTCTGTTTTCTTAATTCCTGTTCTTTTATTGTTCTCTCTCATTAATGGTATTTCTTTATTGTATTCTCTAACACTCTGTAACCCCTTGTATCTTAGTGGCTTTATTGCCTTTTTTTGGGTAAAATGATTAAAAAAAAAAACAGTAACCTTGACATTGAACTCACAAGGAAAGAGAGAGTGGGGAAGGTCCAGGATTACATGGAGCAGAGGCAGAAGTGTGAAGAAATGCCCACACCTGAAAGGATCTGGAAAAGATTACTCAGAGTTGAATGTATTGCCAGTGTTGCCAATGGCCTGCACTCCTCATGGGACAAAGAGTTTAACTAACTATGCACCTGATGAAGGCTAAAGAATAGTGGTTGAAGCATTGTGGAAACAACATCAACAAAATCAGAAAGTTCAATTGTCCAAATAAAATTACAACAGCAGATTTGATTTTATTAACCAGAAAATGATTGGGAATTATGGAATTGTAGTAGAAAATACAAACAATTGATATAAAAATATTGATTAGTACATGATTAAAAATTATCTATTGTCTACCATAATAATAGTGAATACAGATATTATTATTATTATTATTATTATTATTATGATACATTAAGGAAAATAAAATGATCCCAAGTTAAAGTTACAAAATAAGGGGGTGCTGAAAAATTCTTGTCTCAACCCAGTTTCCAAAATCTGACCAAATATCCAAGTTTATTTTACAATCCTGACTTGGTAAAAGTCAAGAATTTTTTAGCACGCTTTAGGAATATATTCTTGTATTTACTCTAACCCAATACTAAGTCATTTTGTTAGACTCTTTGACAGTCAAGGTGAGTGATAGCAGGAAAGGATATGATGCAGTGCAAGCAGTTTCTACTCTAATGTAATTCTATATGAAAGTATTAATCCCCTAAGAAGATTTAGTCTCTAGTCAGAACCCAACCCAACAATAAGTAACACCATCTTTGTGGAGAGTATAAAAAATCAAAAGTCAAAATAAGTGACTTATAATATATTTTGGTAATTTTTTTTTTTTTTTTTTGCACCAACAAAGTAAACAATACAGTTGTTCTTTTCTAAAATGTCTCCTCTTATAAGCAATCGGTATGTATGTATTAATTTAGATTTTATGAATGATTGTGTTGTGTCTCTGGAGGGTGGATGCACATTCGTGTTAGAAAGCTTCATCTCTACCTTCTCTGAAACAGCTGAATATATCCAATACTTGTGTTGACAATGGCTTCTAAAATCATTTTAACAATGAACTGTTGTTTCATATGTTCCATGCATAAAAAATATGGATCACAGGATGTACAAAAATAACTTTTATTTATACATTGTAAATATAAGAATAAATGGGCAGGTGGCTCACGTCATACTTAAAAGTTATACTCATGCATTTTATGTACAAAAATAGGTTGTTGTATCAACTATGAAAATAGGTTCCTATTTTCACCTTTAAAATAAGCAATATTATTCAAAAAAATTATATTCACAATTTTTACATAGAAAGGTAGAAGTTTATTATTATGATAATTTTATATACAGAAATAGAAAATTATGTGCATGCCTTTGTGTGCAAAAATAGAGGGTAGCATTATACATGAAAATTACATGCAGCTTTTTGGGTCACATTACACACAAAAATTCTATTTATGCCTTTCACCTGCAACATTAGAGAATGTCACATTATACATGAATAAATGAAGTAAGTAGGTTTTTTTTTATTAACTTTTTATAATTGTGTATTTCATTCTTATCTAAATAATTCAAAAAACTTTATTCCAATTTCAATCACTTTCTGTTAAATATATTCACATATCCATTTTTGGCTTTATTCTTCTTTTTCTTTCATGTGCTGTGTCTCTTCAAGACAATTTTCTCTTCTTTATAGCCCTTAGTAAAGTTTGTCTGTTTGTCATATCACCTAATTCCTATCCTGCCAACATGTTTGGTAGGTTATGAGCTGTTTTTCTCTGTGCCTTTTGCCTTCAACATGACCTGTGGGTGTCAAATTTTCTTAGCCATCTTTCTTCATTATTTGCCCTATAAGTTTTAACTGTCTCTTTCTGATGCTAAGTGCAACTGTCTTTTTTGTTTCCATCTTCAATATTTATTGTTACTGAATGTCATAGTGGTTGTTTTCTCGTTTCATAAAATCAGTAATGATGGCAGCTGTGATCAACAAATTTCCACTTGAATAATCACTGCTAAAGAAACAATATGCACAGGTACTACTCTTCCAGTAGTATCTGTGCATATTGTTTCTGGAATACTGAAAGGGCAATTTGCATTCTATTTGTTGTTCAATGTATACATAAAACTTGCTCACAAACGTTACTTGTTTATCAACCCAGTTGATGTTTTCTTTTATTATTCATTGCTAAGTCATAAATAAGGTTTCCAATATCAGGCAGTTTTCTCCTGACATTTTGAATAATGTTTATGACTCACATTCATAAAACTTGCTTCTTTTTTTAGGGGGGGTGTTATTGCTCTTTTATTTTCATTTTATTTTTTCCTCTGATACAAGAAGCAAATGTCAGCCGCCTATTAAGAAAGAAATTTCTTGCGTTCAAAAAGCTGTCTGGTTGAAATGGGATTTGAAGAAAAAAATAAAGGCTATTATGAGAATTGTCATCTGTAGAAATCTTTAGATGATGATATTTCCACATCTAAAGAAAAAAAACAAATATTGCTTGCGGCAGCAGTTTTAAATTCTGAAATAAAATGCTTTAACAGCTACAGTGTGTGTGTTTATTGCATGTTTGCCATATGTTGAGCTGTAATTGTGGCATAATGGTTAGCAGAATGAAAAATAGAATTGACATTCCAAGTTCAAATCTTGTCTGAGGAAGCTAATCTTCATTGTACTCTTGTGCCCTTCTTCCTACAGCTTTCTTCAAAGATATCACTAGGTATCTAGAAAACAAAGGTCTTATCACTGGTATGACACAATAGTTAAGAGAAGAGTGTGGTTAAATGAGGTAACTTGCTCTCACTTATCTTATGAGCATATTACTTTGAAACACTAGTTCTTGTACAAGCCTGGTCAGTATCTAGATGGAAATACTAGATGCATCAAGTTTGGATGTGTGGGTGGGGTAAAGGATAACAGCTTGGAACTGGAAATCAGAGATCCAAGTTCCAGTTTCAGTTGGATTCATTTATATTCACTTATGCATAATTGCTCTTTGGAAAAGTATGAATCTACCTCTTCTCCCCCAGCTATGGGTTAATTAGTAGAACTTGTATCAGTAAATAATTATTATGTTGAAAAAATTCTTACAATCTAAAAATATTTTCTGGCTTTAAATAAGCTGTAAAAAAAAAAAAAAAAATCTGCTCTCCCTTAACTACCTGATTTTCCCAGGCAATAAAGCAGAATGCTGTTACTCTTATAGTCAACCTTGACAATAATGAATTAATTCTGATTCTTTTTTTTTTTTGTTTTTTCTTACTTTTACTCAGGCAACTATCGCCATGCCCATGATGTTCTCTTTGGAATGTATCAGGAACTGAAGGCGCATAAAATCAAGATCCCAACTGAGATGTCAACAAATCTAATGATTCTACATAGTTACATTTTAGTCAAGGTAAAATATCTTCTTTTTTTCACTTGCATTTCTGGTATTTAATTTAAAATGTGTAATATAATGGCTTCATTATAGTTAAATGCTGTTGTTTTGTCTGTGACTATTAGTATTCTCTGCTGTCATGTCATCATGGGCATATGATAAACAGCTGTCATGTAAGCTTAGACTTCAAAATGACAAGGCATAATTTTTCATCAGAATAATCAAAGTATAAAAATTGAGTCACTTGGTTGATATCTTGTCTAGTGGCAAACAAAAGTATGGATAAAAATTTGAAATTAGTCTTGGTTTGGTTAATATTAATGACTAATACCATGACTTAGGTGATCTTTTAAAATTACTAGGACTCAGATAAAAACAATAATCAGGTTTGTGTTCTATAAACACAATTTGATTAAAGTGCTTAGCTGTGCAGATAAAAAGGAAACCAATAGATTTTACTATCAGGAAAATGAAGACATGAAGCCACTTTTCAGTTTTTGTATTCTCCCTTGGAAAACTAGAGTTATGTGACTGACAGTGTCATGTCACACTTTTAAAGATTTCCTCAGAATATTTTACCATCTGTAGAATCTCATATTTAAGAAATGTATGTTGATACTGTAGCATGAAACTGAACTAGATATCTGAATCTATTTTTAGAATATTGTAATGCAAATTCTTTTTTTATCCAAAATTAAAATGTTTGGGAATACTTTCATTTCAAGGGATCCATCCAATTTCATTGATAAAGTTGCTACATTTTTAAAATAGAGAATCCAAGTAGAAGTTTATACAATTAATACCATGAATTAAATTTCCTTGACAGAGAAAAATTACTTTTTTTTTTATTTTTTTTTTTTTTTTTTTTAATCAGTATTACCTCATGCAAGCCACTAAGACACAAAGGGTTACAGAGTGTGGAAGAATTAAGAACAGAAACATTAATAATGAGCAGGAAGAGAAAAGAGTAATCAGGAGGATAGTAGATAGCAATTGACATTGCATTTAAATTTTTGAAGATTAAAGTTGGCTGGAAAGCATGGAGCTGGAAGGGTATTGCACAAGTGAGAAGTGCAAGAAAAGAAACTGTTAGCATAGAATTTGCAGCTACATCTAATCAACTCGACTGTAAATTGATGAGATCTTGACAACAGTCTTGTACTGTGATAAGTTCAAAAAGCCTAAGGTACCATAATGAAGAGCTCGTTTGAAAATAAAAGCACAGAGAGTCAACTTTATGTTAGTGGGAAAGTGACTGAAGCCAAGCTGCCAGATCAGGACTAATAATATTGCTGATCCTTCTTTGGATTTTATCAAGGATCTCAAGTTAAATAGCAGGGGCACAGGACCATGGGCAAATGGTAGACTTATAGATATGTAAGATAGATTCTGGAAAGAAATATTGTCTCGCATGACACAGTGAACCAACTTTCTTAGCAGCTGAACTAGCAATGGATTCGATATAGTCTTTCCACTTCATGTCAGCTGAGAATGCTAGCCTGAGAAGGCGCAATGACTCACTTTCCTTGAGATTAGCATCAGCCATATTGGTGGAAGACAGGGGTCTCTCAGATGATTAATGGAGAGTAGTTTAGTTTTGGCAGCGTTAGAATTAACAAACCAACTTTTGCCTCAGTTAACTATGAACTTGAGGTCATTTTGGACATCAGTTGCCATTTTGACCTTGTTGGACTGATCAGCTTTACTATCAAGACAGGAGTAAATGGTTGTCATCAGTGTAGATACCAAGTTGAGAGCTGATGTCATCAAGGTTATAATGAATTGTTTATGATTACCGTATATGTTTGTGTATAAACCAACTGTACAATGCGACCCGTGAATATTATTTTAAAGAATTTTAAACCTTCCAGAAAAGAATTTACATGTGTATAATGCAGCCTCTTCAAAACAATTACCTGTGTATAGTGCAAACTCCTTTTTTGTATTTTTTTTAAATTGATCATAAAAACTTGCACTATACTGAAGTATATATGATAATTAAATATGCTTTTTTGCATTGATATATTTGGGCAACCATATTTGCTGGTATATAAAACACCCCTTCCCGCCTGCCAAATATTAAAATTTTATATATTTCTAACAAATGCACAAAAAGAAACTTGTTTTGAACTGAGCCAAGTAGGGAACGTATACAGTGTAACAGTTGATGTACTGTCCAAAAGGTTTTTCTATAAATATTTCCTTGAATAATATAATTCCTTCATCAAATGTTGATTTTATTCTCATAATGTTTTAGCTGCTGAACACTTCAGCTTTCCTCAAGTACCGTATACACTCATGTATTATCCGATCTTAATATTAAGCCGATTCTCCTATTTTATGTCTAAGAAATGGGCAAAAATCCAAATCCCAGGAATAATCCGAGGCAGCTAATTAATAAATTAATGCTCAGATGGCATGGTTTTGAAAATTCCCATGAGTTGAGAATATTTTTTTTATGAAGTTTTAATATTTTCATATCTAAAATATGTTTAAATGTCATTTAGAGAATAGTTTTTGTTCCAGAATTGCACAAAGATTTTTTTTTTTACCGTTTCATCTGTTTTATAAAATTTCAATAAGTTTCTTAAATTTTTGTCTAATTCCTTTTGGCAGACATCTATCACACAATCTTGTGAATGTAACAGGATTTCATTTAACATTCAAATTGAATGAAAAACGTATGTTAGAAAACTTGGCAACCAAATCAATCCATTTTTGCAAATTTATTACAGCTTTATATAGTGAATTTGTTATTCATATATTGTACTATCAAAAAATAAAATCTCGTACGAAAAATAATTTTGATATATAATGAGAAATGAAGACATAAATAAAAACTGTGAGTACTAAAAATATTGTGTTAAAATGCTTGTAAAATCTAAGCAAAACAGTGCTTCGTTATAAGGCAATCATTTCAGATATTTTGACACTTTTTATTTTTTATGTAGATGTTGAGGTTAGTGAAAATTGGCAAAATATAAGCTTCCCATATTTTATTAATTTGTTTTGTCACATATTTCTTGTCTTATATACAAGTATCTACAGTGTGCAGAAGAAAAAATTTAAAATTTCAAAATATAACCAGGGAAAGCTGAAGTATTAAAGGGGCTGAAACATTATGATGGAAAAAAATACAATGTCTACAATAGGGACCATGAAGATCAGATAAAAATTAACATTTATATTCACGATACAGCCCTTGTCCCAATCAATGGTTTCCCACTGAAAGAAAAAAAAAAAAAAAGAAAATGCATCCTGCCACTGCTTGAACGAAAACATCCAGCCACTACTAACAGTGCCAACTGCTAGGCATCTCTTGACTTGCTATTGGGTCCATGATTACCATTTAAAAAGTGTGTCATCATTCTCTGCATGACTGCCATATTTTGCCACTCCATAAGAGCAGGTGGTAATTCTTATTTTCCATGGTTTATCATGGCTTCTCATATCTTCTCATATACTAGTAAGTATTAATTGTCCACAATTTCTTTCAAGTGTGGATGACTGAAAAGTGATGTGTGCATGAGGATGCAGTATAAAGAAATGTATGTACAAGTGTTGTGAATAAACAATCAGACTGTGAGTATCTGCTAGTCTGTCTGTCTTTGAAAGGCTAGTTCTTATAGGGGTCTATGACTTAAGGGCCCCATGACTTAAAAAAGGCTAAGAACTGCTGATCTAGATCAACATTTCTCAACAGGTGTGCTAGGGTATGCTAATGTGCCTTCAAGGATAGCCAGGTGCACCTCAAGTTAACAGAAAAGTAATTTATGAATTATTTTTATGTTTGAAAAAGCTTTGTTTTCATTCAAGTGTGTCTGGCTAAAAAGTGATATGTGTGCAGTGAGCATGAGGGTGCAATATGGACAAATACACATACAAGGGCTTTGGAAAAACAATCAGTCTGTGAGTATCTGCTTGCCTGCTGATCTGTCTATGAAGAGCTAGTTTTTATGAGGATCTGTGACTCAAAAAAGGTTAAGATCTACTCATGTACATTGGCCAGAATAAATCAATACATTAAGTACATATTTAAAAAAAAAAAAAAATCCTACAGGCAAAAATTTTTTTCTTTTTCTTTCAGACTCATGTGAAAATCAAAGAATACACTTTGGCTGCCCGCTTACTGATCCGTGTGGCTAACAATATCAGCAAATTTCCGTTACGTGAGTAGATTGATGACTGAACCTTTGGGGGGCACAAAACTCCAGAATCTTTAAGAATTCATTGATCACATTGTTATCTTTATCACACTAGTTCCCTTGGGGAAGGTATGAAATATGAATTCCTTTCTTTTTCCCTAGCTATGAGTTAAATAGCAGAGTAGATGGCAGCTAACCTATGAGAGAGATTACTCAATCAATGGAGAAGGCAATGGCAAACCAATCCACATCTCAAGGAGCCATGGTAATTCACAGATAATAAAGGGACTCTGTGGATCATTGGAAGAAATCTATGGATTACTTAAATAAAAAAGGGAATCTGGATAATTGGAAAATAAAGGAATCTATGGATCTCTGGAAAATAAGTGAAGCTGAGGATCACTGCAATAAAAATGGAATCTATGGATTGTTGTGAAAAAGGAATCTATGGTTCATTGGAAAAATTGGTTTTATTAAAATTAACCTTTTATAAATTTTAAATAGTGAGAAATGAGAGATATTCAATAGGGATTTTATTTTTTTTTCGTTGAATGTTTTTCTCTGAAAGGAGTGGGTTTACAATGTTTAATATTTCCTTTAACAGTACTGAAAATCATACATGGAGTCTTAGATTTTCTAAATATTTTTGTTGCAAAATGGTTAACTGTGTCATGCTAAGCAATTTTTCTCTCCAGAATCTATCTTACATATCTGTATGTCTACCATTTGTCTATGCTTTGAATATTGCTACCACTCCTGCTTTATGTTTAGATGTTCCTGATAAAATCCAAAGAAGAATCAGCAATATTATTGGTCCTGACCTGATATCTCAGCTTCAGTCACTTTCCCAACACTATAAAGTTGCTTCCCTGTGCCTTTTCTACAAATACTTTCATGTTAATTGTTCAGATGAGCTCTTTGCTAGGGTACCGTTATGAATTTAAGTGCAGTACTATATTTCCAACAAGGTCTCATCAATTTACCATCAAATTGGCTAGATGTAAGCATAAGTTCTATTTCAACAGTTTCATTTCTCATACTTCTTACTTGTGGAACACTCTTATGGCTCCATGCTTTCCAGCCAGCTTTGATCTTCAAAAATTTAAATGCAATGTCAATCATTATCTACTGTTCTCCTAATTATTCTATTGCTCTCGCTCCTTTATAATATTTCTATTTTGTAATTCTTTCACACTCAGTAACCCTTGTGCCTTAATGGCTTTACTGCCTTGCATGGGGTGAAATGATTAAAAAAAATGTGTAAACAGAAATATTTGCTTTTGTCTTCTATCTACTGATGGCCATCTTATTGACAAGGAACTAAGGAATTCTCCAGTGAGAATGTTGGAGTCATCATGAATGAGTTGAAAATGTCTTCTTGGACTTGTCTAAAGCACAGTGACATTCTCATTTCACATCAGTGATTGTCAAAGTTTTGGAGCAATGCAAATAGGAATTTGTTCTATTTGTAAATATACAATGCAACTCTCACTCAGGCTTTCCATTGACTGGCAAATAATTTCCCTACGTTGCATCTTAAATCTCAACCTCAATGGTGGACACCAAAAACTAGGAAAGGGACTACTGCTTGTTCACTAAGTAATATAGATAGAAAGCAAACATCATGTTGACAAATGAAAACATGGGTCATGTTTCCTATTTAGACATTTAATTCAGAGTTTTATCTAGGTGGATAAGCATTTGACACTTGGGAAAATTAACTGTTGATTTCATCGCTCGGCTCTTCTCCCTACCAATACCTCAGCCATCTCGACATCCTGATGTATGGCTGGCAATACAAATAGGTAGTTTCAGAACCATCCAACAGAGAAGTCTGTCTCTCACCAAGGGCATACCAGTACTGACTCCTTGATCTCAAGCTTGACTTTTAATATAGACTAGTACATGGAAATAATCAATGTCTGGTTTGTTGTCACTTAGTCTCCAAAACCCCCTCATCTACTCCTTTACTTCTCTGTTCTCCTTTGGTTGTAATGGATGCCATTTACTGGCTTTAAACAGTAATAGTTGATATCAAGATAAAATGCCCTCTTTGTTTGCATCCATAGTGTTACACATTAAAATGAGGTAAGATTTTGCAAAGGGTTCTGGTGAGAAATCAATTTAAAAAAATATTACAGTGATTTGATGTTGCTAGCAAAAATTCTGTTTTCTTATAAGGCAGCCTTGAAGTTGGATTTTGTGAAAGCTTCTGATCAGAAATCAATGAAAAATATTGATTTTGGTGATGCTTTGATTATGAGACACTCTTTCCTGGGAAGGAATAATAGCATTGCAAACAAACATTTACAAAAGAAGTTGTCTGTAAACCATTTGCAACATGGATATAAATAATTTTTACTTTCACTGCTGCATTGTTCTAGCATTATTGCCTGGTTGTACTGGCCCATTTTGGGAAAAAACAGGAAATTGCTGTTTACTGGAGAAAAATGATTATCTATACTCCAGGGAAGCAAGACACTGTGCCTTCTTAGCCTCATGTTTTCCACTGACTTAAATCAATAGCTGAATCTACTGCAAAGGAAATTGGGTTTGGGTTAATGTGTTGTGCCAGAAAATTTTTCTTGTCAGAATTCATCTTGCACATTTACAAATTTACCATTTGACTGTACATTGAATACTGTTGCCACTTATGATCTGATGCTCCTGCTGTACATCTCGAGATTATTGACAAAATCCAAAGAAGGATCTGCAATGTAATTGATCCTGACCTGGCATCTCGACTTCAATCACTAACATGATGTGGCTTACCTCTGTTTTTTTTTCCCTGGTGCCCCAAAAACATGAATTTAAGCCTGCTACTTGATTGGTACTTAGGTCCTACACTTTTAAAACTGGAATAACTAAATGTAACTCCCTTCTTTCCCTGATAACTAGAATCTTCAAAAATTTTAATGAAACATCAATCGCCATCTTCTATCTTCTTGAATACTGTTCATCTTTTGTTCTTTCCTCAATCCTCCCTATTCCCAGTCTTCTCATTCACTTTCTGTGCACTAGTGGCATTCCCACCTTGCTTGGGGTGAAATGATTGAGTGAAAAAAAAATATATAGTGATGACAATTTCCCTACCATTTTGTCTTAGATCATATACTCTGAAATACAGACTAAACTAAATGAACCCCTCCCCATCTACAGCACACATTATAATGAAAATACATCACAAAACATATCATATTGAACAGTACTATATATCTGTGCTGGTTTGGAAATACCAAATACAGCTGAACACTTGGCCAGTTCCCTTCACACATGGTGTTGGCAGCTGGAGATATTTATTCATGCGTAGTATGTCTTGGGCAAAGTAGACCTGGTGGGGGTTCATTTCTCTCCTGGTCACAGTGGGTGATATGATTGTAGTGATATTAAAGATAATAGCAGTAGCAGCCTAAATAAACCTTGTATCAGCAGCATCTCAAATATAAAAAACACGTAAACCCTAAAGTAACTCACTTACTTCTGGGTTCCCTCTTTCAAAATTGCTGACATGAACTTTCCATGCTGATGCTACAAGTGCTGTGAAACTCTTCACCCATAAAATTCACCAACAAAGTTCCCACTATAATAGAATTAATGAACATTTTGTTGTGTATACAATTTACATCTAACAAAAGAAACTCTTGTTTTAAAGTTTACTTTTGTTAATTTTGTTTTAATAAATGTTATTTTTGTGTTGCAAATCAATTGGTCTGTTATTTTGTGAATATACTCTTTACACTGCCATTATTCCATGTGCTATAAAATGCTCCTGTAAGAAAATTTACACATTTAATTATTGATGTAGCTAATCACTAAATGATTTTCAAATTTGGAAATGAATCAAGTTTGAAATCACTTGAGAAAGTAACATTTTCATATTAACTTGCAGGAGACAAACCTAATATAATTGGTTAATAATGTCATTCAACTTTTATTAAGCAACCCATTCATGAAAAAAGCTAAAGGAATCTTGGATTTAGAAAATGTTAAAACATCAATTTTTAGGCAAACCACTGACTTACAATATTCTGTTTCATGTTAACCAGATATGAAAAATCTACACCTAAAAAATAAAGACCATGTTATTCAAACTACATAAACAATTTGCTTATCCTGGTGGACAGCATCCCGCAGGTTTGTCTCAAGATGCAATTGTGTCTGGTGGTATTTTGTTTCTATGTGCTGTCTCCCTTCAAGACATGGACAATCATGGCTCTCCATATCTTCCCATCCTTGTAGCTCTTAGCAAGGTTGTTTTTTTTTTGTTTTGTTTTGTTTTTTGTTTTTTTGCTATCCCTCTCACTCACTGCTCTGCCATTTATTTAGACAAGCTCGTCAGGAAGGTTACTCTCTGTTTTCTGAGATGAAAAGTTATCATTATTTACATTCAGATTAATGTTCCCATTTTTGTTGTTATTATAATAATGTTTTGGATGGAAACAAGATGAGATATCCTTAGACATGAAAAGCAACCCATTCATAGAAAAAAATGAAAGTAATCCTTGTTTTGGAAAATGACAGAGTGTCAGTGTTTAAACAAACCATTGACTAACAATGTCTGAGGTCATTATTGCATGAAATAATCCCCTATGAAATAGATGAAATATCCAGATTGCTAGATGAAATACACCTTTATGAAATAGGTAAAATATCCAGATTTCCAGATTTCCCTTATGTTGTGTTAACCAGAAATTAAAAATTTACACCTAAAATAAATAAAACATTATTCTCAAACTACATAAACAGTTTCATCATCCTGTCGGTCAAGGTTTCATTACTTTGTTGCAGTATGCATTACTTTGTTGCTGGATGCATGCGTGTGTGTGATAGTGCTACTAAAGTTTTGATTGAAATTAAAAAAAAAAAAGCAGCAATGTTTGTAAGAGAAACAAAATGCCTGCTTGTCCAATGACGTGAATTGACCTTTACTACCGAATTTAAGTTGTTACATTAGACATCATGGAATTGAAACAAGGATCTGTTTTTCTACATTTGATAGATATTGCAACTTTATTCAGTGAAAC